AGAATATTGTTAGGTTCACATTTTTAAATCCACGACTCAGCTTCTACTGTATTTGTGGTAAAAGGTGAGAATTTCATTAGGTTTTTCATTTTTAGGGTTCTGCTTATTTCTTTGATAAATGTCTGTTGTAATTAGTAAAGGGAGGAAGTAATTTCTGTCTCTTATTTATATATTTGATACTAAAATCGTCTTATGGAAACAGCACTTCTTCCAGAGTTAAGCACAAATCATCGTGGTAACTGCTTGACTATTGATGAAATAGGTCTGCTGTTTTCCTTCACTATGAATAAGGAAAAACCTTCAAGTTAGGCAGACTACTATTAAAAAGGAAGAGGTGGCTTCTCTCTCAAAAATGTTTTCATATGTAAATTTGATGTTCTTCTCTTATGAAGAACCTACGGCCTTAATTGCACTAATCATTGTTCTGGCATACTGGGGCTCTGCCTAACGGACTCTGGTGTGATCTGTCTGCATCTAAACATATTTTGTTGGGTTCGATATATTGTTAGGAAATATCACTTTACTTTTAAAAGCATACTCTTTTTCTCTGAAAAGTTGGTCTTTGAATGATCTCTGGAAATGATTAAGAACCTAAATCAGGAGTCAGGAGTCTCAAGTCAGTGCTTTCCTCCCTTATAACTGAAAATGCTTGAGAATGTTATCTTTGCTTGCCTTTCTGGTTTTCTCTTGGCCCTTTCCCTATCAAGTAGATGAGGTAGGATATCTTACTTCCACAGGGAAACATCTCATATAAACGACAAGTGGTATAACTGAAAAGCTTAATCCTCATGTCTCCCTTTGACCCTCTCCCCCAAACCACGTTATTCAAAAACCTGAAAAAAGTTGCTTTCATCCTAGACGCAAATCCAGATCTCCTTCCCCTAGAAGACGATCTTCCCCTGTCAGGAGAGAGAGAAAGCGCAGTCATTCTCGATCTCCCCGTCACAGAACCAAGAGCCGGAGTCCTTCCCCTGCTCCTGAAAAGAAGGAAAAAACTCCTGAGCTCCCAGAACCTTCAGCAAAAGTAAAAGAACCTTCAGTACAAGAGGCCACTTCTACTAGGCAAGTACACAAAAATGTGTAAGTTAATCACAATTTTAGGCTGTTAATAGTGACTGCAAATATGAAATCTCTTGAGTTAAAGACTTAGAATTATTTTCCTCTTAGATTTTTAAAATCAGCTTGTTGAAAAGAAATTGAAATTGTATAGTAGATTATAGGTATCCACAGCTGGTTGAATCCACAGATGTGGATCCCCCACAGATATGGAGTGTTGACTATACTGTAACTTGCTTTTTTTCTAAGTGTATTTTGGACAACTTTTAAAAAATATGTGGTTAAAAAGATATATGTAGTTAGAATTGTTAATTGCTTACTAGAGTTCAATGATATGTATGCATCTTTTGGAAGTAGGGAGAATTTTTCATGGATTTTGAAAACTTTTTTAAAAAGAGGAATACTTTATTACATTATTGTATTATGACTCAGGAATCTGAGTAGAAGAGGAAAAAATAAAAGGTTTTGTTTCCACAGTGACATCTTGAAAGTTCCCAAGCCTGAACCTGTACTAGAGCCTAAAGAACCTTCTCCGGAAAAAAATTCCAAAAAAGAAAAGGAAAAGGAGAAGACCCGACCAAGATCTCGGTCACGTTCCAAATCAAGATCCCGGACACGGTCTCGCTCTCCTTCTCATGCTCGACCTAGACGACGCCATAGATCCCGATCAAGGTGAGTTGTGGCTTTAAGATCAGCCTAGATCTTAGGTTTTATGTATTACTCTTGCATGTAGAATCAGGTAAATAATTTCAAAGCAGTAGAAAATGTTTAATACAAATGTTAATCTTTGGATTTACATAGAGAATTTGAGGACTCTTTTACTTTCTGTGTATCATACAAATCCCTATGTAAATAGAAAATTGTGACCCTTGAACTTCCTTTTTAAAGGGTTGTTGTTAAGAAAACTAAGTCAAGAAATTCCTTAATCCTGATTTATTCAGGTTCTAATTCTGTTTGTTATGACAGATCATACTCACCTAGAAGGCGGCCAAGCCCAAGAAGGCGACCATCTCCTCGAAGAAGATCTCCGCCAAGACGAATGCCTCCTCCACCAAGGCATAGAAGGAGTAGATCTCCAGTAAGACGGTGAGATTTTTCTTTTTTTTAATTTGGAAGAGTCAGATGTTTGACACTTTAGGATAATCTTTGTTTTGGGATAATTTTAGGATAATCTTTAGTGTCCCTCTGGAAGAAGGAATTCATAAGTCATATCATATAATGTATTCCAAGAGCCTATTTCGTTTGAAGTATAATGCTGTTGTTTGTGCTATGAAAAATATCTAGTCCAGTGCTGGGGGGAAAAAAAAAAGAAAAATCAGCATTTTATTGATACTTTGTGTTAACTTTTACTCTTTAAGACCTCAACAAGAAATCCTACCAAGTAAGAGAATTGGCCACCTTCTCTTTGGCTTTTATCACTGGCTTCTAAAAAGTAGCTGACTGTAGGGCCAGTAAGCTACTTTTATTGCTATTAAAATAATTTATTTGCTATTACTTTTATTTTTTAATGTGTTTTTTTCTCATTGTAGAAGTAATGGGGCTTATGATAAACAGTTCAAACAGAAATAACATAAATTGACAGTCCCCCCAATCCCATGCCATAGGTATAACTATTACTAGTTCGGTGTCCAGTCATATTTGAGATTAGTCATAAACTATTACTAGTTCGGTGTCCAGTCATATTTGAGATTAGTCTAACCCTGGTAATACTGATGTTCATTTTCTTAAATCTTTCTAAAATGAGCATAAGGTAAAGTGTTTGAATCTTGGATATATCACTTTTAACAAAAAGATTGGGGCTAAATCTGCCCAAAGTAGAGGCCTGGTGCATTGGTAGCAGTTTTTGTTCCTTCCTGACAATACATTTTGTTTGTTTTTGGAAGAAACTGATGATTAAATTTCAGGTTATACTTTGGACAGAATTTTTTTGTGTTCGGGTCTTTAAGGTGTTTTCAGGGAATCAGATCAACTTATAAATAGATTAAGATGTAGAAACATAAAATAAGCTCTGAAGTTTTCTTTCTACAGTCAGGTTTTTCAGAGTCTCATACTTTAAAAAAAAGTACTATTTTTCTTTGGGGAGGGTTTGTCAAGTTATATTGAGCTATTTTCATCATTAAAAATTATAGAATTAATGTTACTACTGACAGATGAGACTAACAGTGTAAATGGTCAGTCAATTCAGACACCAGTTATCTAAAATTGATTATTCCTCCTTAGGAGAAAAGTAATGCTGGTGCTTTCTGGTACGAGATTAGTGGAAACAGCTATTTCTTATACTGGAGTTTTGCAAACAGCATGTTTTAAATTGTGCTTACTAAGCCATTTTGCAGTCAAAATATTTTGCAGATTGTGTAAGATTCCCTTTCAGCCAGTTTTTATCTCACACTTAAGGTAGGGTTTCTTTTTTTCAGGTTCTCAGGAATTCTTCCGTCAAAGGTGAATTCTGCAGGTACACATAATTGCAACAGAACTTACCACAAAATTTGCCGCAGAATTCGAGAGACCCCTGCTTCTAAGTTTATGTAGCTAAATGAATTCCTAATCTTGCACTTCTTTTTTTTAATGCAACATAAAGGTTGCTCGACATTGTGGTATTCAATGAAAAATACTTTGCCACCCAAACTTTATATGCAAACTCCAAAACACCAATATAATTCTTAGGAAGAAAGAGACTGTTTAGTCATTGTATTACAGCACTCAACTTGACAAGTTTTATAAATGCAGAGACAACTAAAACAGCAGCATTTATCAGAATAAGTTACTTATATTTAGTCTCAGAACTAGCTGTTTCCTATCCTAGGTTATGGTTTTGTTTCCCATTTTCTTTGGAATCATTTACATGCTTAGCTACATAAACTCAAAAGTTGGAAAAAAGAAATAGCTGTATTTTTGTGTAAATTGTATATACCTGTAAGGTCATTCTTTATAAGTTTGCAGTTAGTGAACATGAATACTTTATTCTGCATCGAAGAAGATCTCCGCCAAGACGAATGCCTCCTCCACCAAGGCATAGAAGGAGTAGATCTCTAGTAAGACACTTTATTCTGCAGAAGAAGGCGTTCATCAGCATCCTTGTCTGGGAGTAGCTCATCGTCCTCTTCATCTCGTTCCCGGTCACCACCAAAGAAGCCTCCCAAGAGGACATCCAGCCCCCCTCGAAAAACTCGTAGGTTGTCTCCTTCAGCAAGTCCTCCAAGGCGAAGGCACAGGCCAACACCTCCAGCAACTCCACCACCAAAAACTCGTCATTCCCCAACGCCCCAGCAATCAAACCGCACAAGAAAAAGTCGTGTTTCTGTGTCTCCAGGGAGAACTTCAGGTAAAGGTAAAAATCAAACACATAAAAATTATGTTCTCTCTTTGGCTACAGAAAACATAGTTGTTGCCCCTTGCCCACCTTCAAAATAATGGAGTAGCTGGGTAATATTTGTATGTGAGGTTCTTTGTAAATTTGCTTGTAGGCTTACCATTTCTGCTTTAAATTCTTGGGGTTTGTTGAAATGGTTTACATGTAAATGCATTTTGTTTTTAGCAATGCCCTCTGGCATTAAGCAGGTGGAATGATGTATTACACCAAGGGCTATTTGAGTTGGGGTAACTTAATGAAGTTTGTCTCATCATAAGGGATCATTTTATTACTATGAGACCAGTTAACTTTTTTCTTTCTGAAGATGTTTTGTTTGATATTTTATTTGAGGACTTCATATTCTGTTTTAATTCTTTCTTGGCCACATTGTGCTCTCAAGGGAAGGACATGGTGTCCTCTTAAAAGCTGATTTGTTTTTTTAATTTAGTCTCTAGGCAGGGTTCTTCTGAGTGTTGTCCTTGCTTTATTCTGCAGATTGATTTCTGAGGAATTTATGATCTGTGCTCCTGCCAGGCAAGTAGAATGCTGAGTGAAGGTTGTGGTCTATTGGGGTTTGTTCTTTTAGCATCAAACACACACATAGAAAACAATGGGATCCATTTGATTGGGGCCTCTGGTGCTTAGGGCTGGAATGATACAGACAGCCTAAAATGAGTAGTAGGGGAGGGGGAAGGCCTTAAAAGCTGCCATAGCAGTTGGATTTTAAGGAGCATCCTGTAGGTTAACATATGCTGGGGTTGAAAATTTCAGGTTAGAAACAAATGGGGTAGGCAAAATTTCTGCTATATATGTTAGTGAGCTTGATGAGACCAGGATTTCTAATCAGCCACCCTGCTGCTATGTTTCCTCACTCCTCTAAACTTTGCAATGTGGTGGTATCTAGAAAAACAAATTTTGCTTTATTATTATTATTATTATTTTTTGTTCTCTGTTACAGTGAGACATAGATAACCTATTAGAATGAAAGGAGACCAGCAGATAATGGTAATCCGTAAAAAATAATGTGTAGATTATTTTCTGAATTTTAATATCAAGTTAATTTGGTGATACATAATTAAATAAGATGTCGTTTTTGTTGCATTAGCTCTTTAGACCTGGACAGGCAGCTGGGTAAGAATAGAGAAAACTTTTAACTGTTCCAGGTTGAGACTTAAGTATGGGAAGGGGCCTTCAGTCCATCCATGGTTTCTACTCACTGTGTCCAAATCTGATGCCCATTGCCTTGAGCTATTTTTGTCTTTTCCTGTGAAGTTTGCACTTAGTGACTCTTTCTTTTGTTTGGAGCCAGAAAGCTCTCGAGCGAAAAAGTATTTTTAATGTTCCCACCTGTTACTTTGCAAAAACACACCAATTTATAATTTTTCTGCTTACGTCATATAGCCAAAGAGTTATAAAAAAAGTACCTGAACAGAAGGACTAAAAATCTTGTTGAAATTCATCATTAAGAATTATTAGTTACCTTTTTAAAAGAGTCTGCACAGGTGCCAACCTCTTGTGTTTTTGTATGTTTTTGCAAACGACACAGTGGATGTGTACATAGGAGAGAAATAAGTTACGGTAGAAGGACTTCCATGACCAAACAAAACCCAACCAGAGAGACACAAGGTGGGCACATTGGTTATGGGAGGGAATGGGGATAGCGAAAGTGTATTTAAAACTTATGTCGTGGTGTCCACTGAAGCTATATGTCGATTTGAGCTACTTGGAACTAACCCTTTATATTAAAATGATCCCAGCTCTCTATGATGAAATTTCAGAGCTAGAAAAGGCTTTAACAATTATCACCAACAAACAGGTTCTCAGTTAAAGTGAATTTGGTCAAGGTCAACCAGCCAGGAATAGAATTTAAAGAGTTCTCATTTCCGGGTAAATAATGTATACCTTGCTCAACTTTCCTACCCTGAAATACCTCTGACTGTTCAGGGAGGGCAGTGGAGGGCAGGCTGAAATTCTTTAGCTTCTGTGCCTGGTAGTATTTCAGAAATTTCTTTAAGGTCTCTGTGGCTAATAAGAGCAGTGACATCATTGAAATGGAATAGATTTCACATTTGTATTTCTTGTAGTCGTCACTAATCAGGGCTTTAGGGCTCTCCTGTTGATAGTGGGCACATGGAGTGGGAAGGAGGGAGGCAAGAAAAGTGTTTCAGGGGAACTTGGGTAAATTATTTGGAGTACAATATACAGGCTTATCTAAAAGGTCTTAGGGAAACATTTTGTAATCGATAGCATGTTATAGTTAAATTGGCATAATCTTAGTACATGAAATGGTGCTTAATTTTAAATCAGTGCCACATTCAGTGAAGTGTGTTGACAGGATCTATACCTATGGCGATGGTAGTAATTTTGAGTTTATTTAGATCAACTTAGCCATATAAATTGTGCTTTGTACATACTTAATGATTATTTTACAATTTCTGGTCTTAGAGTGACTTATCTCTACAAATAATGTTTTGGGCAAGTTGGAGAGAGTTAGTACGATGATTAAGTAAATTCAAAATTCTGGTTTTAGAGTTGCCTTCTTAGATTTATGGCTTCATGCTAGAACAATTTTGCTCCTTGAATACTTAAAATAAAACACTATTAACATAACACAATAATTCAATCATATTAAATCAGGGTAGGAGTATATCATGAATACTTGTCCGATAGTGTGAACATATTAATAATTGAAGATTGTTTTAGCTAAATCATTAAGAGATTGAATTAGTATAAAACTCGAAATGTGTATTTCCATTGGGGGGAAAAAAGTAAATAATGTTGCAGTTCAGTTGTATTATTTACTAAGTAGTCATTTGTCAACTATCTTGCAGGTATAACCACATTTTTGATGTTTCTTAGGGGAAAATGCATTCTCACATCCAAATAGCCAGCTTCCAAACTAAGTTTTGGAACCCAGTTCTCTGAGGTGGTAACTTGGGCATGTGTTTACAGATAACCAGATGCCTATCGTATTTTTTTAAGAATTGAGGATTAACTGATACTTAAAAATGGAAAATACCGACTAGAAAAATAGCTTTAGAGGTAAAAAAAAAAATTTCAAAACATTTCTATTTCATTTCTTTGAAATAAATTTTAAACACACTTTTGCTGTCACCATTCCTTCCCATAATTCTTGATACCTAATTAGGTGCTAACCATTCTTAACCTAATCCAATGGTTGGTCCAAATGACTTATTAGGGAGAATCATCAATAAAATTCTGGTCTATATTGACTACTTTAGCAGAGATGAGATTGCTGTGTTAGATCCCTAGTCTTCTAAGTTACTGCTCCTTGGAATAAACCATTGCAGAATTCTGAATACGAATATGAAAAGAGATATATCTGCATTCTGGGTCAAACATCCCATGGTAATTGCTTTAATCACACAAAACAGATATAAGGATCCTGAGGGGATCAAATTGTCTGTTGGTTTACTTCTTAGATTTTCTCAAATGGTGTTTCAGGTTAATCCATGGTAAGAGTGATGATTATATCTGTATATACTTGAGATTTTAATTGCAGCAATGGATGGATATTGCAGGTTGAGTATCGCTTATCTGAAATGCTTTAGAACAGTAGTATTTCAGATTTTTTCAGATTTTGGAATATTTGCATTATGCTTACCAGTTGAGCATACCAAATCCAAAGTCTGAAATGCTCCAGTGAGCATTACTTTTGAGCATCATGTTGGCCCTCAAAAAGTTCTCAAAAAGGATTTTGGATTTGGGATGTTCAGCCTGTATAAGGAGAGATAGTAGTTGTTGGGAATCAAAGTCCATGCTGTGAAAATAGTCTTGGGTCAGATCCTAGCTCACTTAAATTGTCTGTACGACTGTGGTGAAGTTAACTGAACTTTCAAGCCTCAGATTTCTCATAAAATGAGGGAGAAGGGAATGTGATAATAACAACAGTCCTTAACAATAGTCTGTATAATACAGGAAGCTTACAAAAGGTAGTTGCTATAATGTTTTCCATACAGTTGGTAAAAAATAAATTGGATAATTCATAAGATACCTACCACTCTCTCCACCTACCTTAGGTATAGAGCTGTCTTTTTTTCTTTTTCTTTTTTAACACTTCAGAAAAAATTCTCCAATCTTAGTATTTAATAATTTTTACCATTGTGATTGTCTACATCTTTTTCATAGGTAGCTTAAGTTCCTCATGTTGTTGTAAAGATTATGTTCTACATGAAGATCCTTCAGCCTCTTGGGTAGCCAGTCATTCCTCTTTCCCAGACCAAATACCCTTTTCTGTGAAAATTTCATTACATCTTATTTCTTAATGATTTATCATCTTTATTAGTTTTCTGAATCCATCTATAGTGGTTGCTTGAAAGCTTTTATATAAAGTTGGTGTGGTTTCCAAAGTTGGGTATGGGTGTGTGTGTGTGTTTTAGGTTATGGGGCTCAAGTAGCCCACACAGGTGGAGGTTTACTTTACTGAGCTGAATGTTATACATAGCATAAAGCTTATTCTGGTCAGTAACAGCACCCAATTTCTTTTAACTGTTGATTCTCTTTGTGTAACTTTTTGAGGCTTTTCACTAAATATTTAAAAGTGCTTGCTTCAACTCCAGATTGTGTTCAGATGACAACAGGTCTTAGAAGAATTTTAAAATTCTTAGTAAGTTCTTTTTGAGAATAATCATGTATTTTTGTAATAAGAAGGAGGCATCTTGTGTTGCCTTTTTTTTTTTTTTTTTTTTGGTATGTGAGGGTATTTGAAGAAATTTGTGGAAAAAATAGGATTAAAAGATAATATGAATCTTTCTATGAACTTTCTGAAGTACTCTCATATAATTTTTTTTTTCCCCGTTATTCTTTTTTAGTGACAAAACATAAAGGTACTGAGAAAAGAGAGTCCCCTTCACCAGCACCGAAGCCTAGAAAAGTAGAGTTATCTGAATCGGGTAAGTTTTGTTTTTGTTTCTTTAAAGCTGGTTTTGGTTTTTTGCACATTTAGTTATCCCCTCTGGTTGAAGATTAATTATATCGGCTGTGGCTTAGTGGGTAAGAACTAAGACTCTGAGGTCAGACAGATCTCGTTGGAATCCGCAGCTTCCACATTTAACTGCTTTTTGTTTGTTTTAATTTATCTGAGCCTCATTTCTTTTATCTCTGAAATGGGGGTAATAGAGTTTTTTTTTTGTTTTTTTGGCAGCTGGCCGATATGGGGATCCGAACACTTGATGTTGGTGTTACAACACCACATACTAACTAACTAAGCTAATTGACTGAAATAATGTTTATAGTGCTTGGCACCCAGCCTGACCTATAATAAATAAATATGTAAATAAGTTTATTTGGTTACTTTTAGTGAAGATAGTGTAAATCAGCATTTAAATTGGCATTTTAAGCTCCTCTTTTGTAAAAAATATAGTTGTATTGCTCGGCCCAATCAGATAAAGGTTTGAGAGATTATTTTCCTATTCACATATGTCAGATGTTTTGTATACATAACTAAAGAAACACTTTCTAAATGCATCTATCTTTCAGAAGAAGATAAAGGTGGCAAAATGGCTGCAGCGGATTCTGTACAGCAGAGACGTCAGTACAGACGACAAAACCAGCAGTCTTCATCTGGTATGGATACTGGTTAAATTTTTTTCTACCTGCATTTCCTGATTTCAGAAAATGCTTAAGATATAAATATCTTCAGTGCGTAGTGAGTATACCTAAGAGAAATAATATATTTTTGCCTACATAGAAATCTGTTGGAGTGGGGTGGGGAAGGTTTGTTACTTTTTTTAAGTCCCTTTTTAAAAAAAATATTTTTGTTTGTTTTGGTGCCTGGCTGGTACAGGGATCGTAACCCTTGACCTTATTAGTGCTGCAATACTGTGCTCTAACCAACTGAGCTACCTGGCCAGTCCTAAGTCCCTTTTTCTTTTTTAAAAGATGACCGGTAAGGGGATCTTAAACCTTGACTTGGTGTTGTCAGCACCAGGCTCTCCCAAGTGAGCCAACTTGCCATCCCCATATAGGAATCCGAACCCATGGCTTTGGTGTTATCAACACCACACTCTCCCAAGTGAGCCACGGGCTGGCCCCTGTAAGTCCCTTTCTTAAAACTTAATTTTCTTTTAAATTTTTATAAAAGTAATAGACCCTTTGAATACAATAGAAAAGTATAATTCTTTTTCCAGCCCCCCAGTCTTATTCCCCAAAGCTTTTATTCAGAAATTATCTGTGCATATGTAGCCATCTGTGGTTAAAAAGTAAAGGGGGGCAGGATCCACATAACTCAAATTGTAGATGTTACCTCCTTTTTTAACTTAATATATCTAGAACACCTTTCCCTCTTAATCTTATGAATTCACCTCATTCTTTTGCTAGCTACAGCATTTTTTATTTTAGGAGTATACCATAATTTATTGAGCCAGTTGTCTATTTGATGGACATTTAGGTTGTTTCTAGTTTTTTTGTGTACTTATGCAAAAATACCTGTAATAATTAGAATTTAGATTAAATGCACTGGCCAGCTACCCAAAAAAAGGAATTTGTATTAAAGACTGTGCATAGAAACCTGGTTATTAAACCAGGTGCTCTTTCTTATTTGCTTACTCATTATTTGTGACTGAGTCTAGGTACTACCTTTGCTTTTCATTTATAAAATGGAAACCAAACCATCTCACAGTAGTATTAAATGCTTAGAGTAACAATCAAGTAATTGCTTGAGATGCTTTTTAAGATTCACTTAATTATTTGGAAAATCACTAGACTTAAGAGACATTTGTATCATCTTGGTTGGATTGCATATCTTATATTACTTATAAAATGAATATTTATTTATGCTTGGCTTTGAAGTTATTGAGCCTGTATTGATATTACCTCTGTTCAGAAGTGATGGCTTGTGTACATGCTTGCTTACACTAGTGAATGTTCTGTCCACTTAGATTCCAAAAACTTGGATAGACTCTTAAGCACAGACCCAATGTAATTTTTTCTTTACTGTGTGATTATAGACTCTGGCTCCTCCTCCTCCTCAGAAGATGAGCGACCCAAGAGATCCCATGTGAAAAATGGTGAGGTAGGCAGGCGACGGAGACATTCCCCATCCCGGAGTGCCTCTCCATCACCACGAAAGCGCCAAAAAGAGACTTCCCCTCGGTAACGTCTTTCCTTCAGTGGTCTTCACTGATGTTCTGTAGTTGTGATATGTAACTCTAACTTTATAACTTAAAGGGTGGGCTACAATTATTTTAGAATTTGGTTAACTCCTTCATTTCAAGGACTTTGAGAAGATGGTCAGGTTTTGTTTTGTTTGCTTTTTTTTTTTTGCTTTGTTAGTGGTTATTAATATTTAGTGAGAACTGGATAAGTTTTGAACTACCATGTCATATGAGGGATCTTCAAAAAGTTCATGGAAAGAATCATCTTTTACATCCATTTGTCTACAACTTTTTGAAGGGCTCTTGTATTAATACATGACTAGAAGAATAAACCAGTTAAATCATAGCTTACCTCCTGAACATCCTTGAACACTTGTGTAAATGTCTCCATTAGTGATATTTAACTCCATCAAAGTAAATAATTTATTGAATGGAATTCTTGACATTTGTTTTTCTCCACTGCTCTCAGGATGCAGATGGGAAAGCGATGGCAATCGCCAGTGACTAAAAGGTTGGTTAGCCACTACTCTGTTAATTAGGGTTACATGTCAAAAATTTTAGTGACTTCAGTCTCCTGTTAGGTGATCTTATCCCTTTTAGATATAGAGTGGCTATGGTTGTGGAGAAGTTCCTAAGTTTTCATTCAATTCTTTTTTCTTTACATGTCAGGTTAATGATAGGTAGGATTGTATGTGAGATGTTCATCTTAGAACATCATTTGAACATAGATTTTGAGTATCTGATTACCAGTCTTTTGTGGTAATTTACATCTACTTATACCAAAGTGCACACTGTTTTAATAGTATCTGGATACTTTCCAAGAGGTAGATTAATAGCTCCTTAGATTTTGTGGAGAGAGAGTTTGTATTTGTGATGACTTTAGGAAAGGAAAGGAAAATGAGGGAGAAACTTATAAAATATTAAAAGTAAATGTAAGGCTTTGTCCCAGTTCAGTCTTTCCAGTAATCGAAAGGTGGGTTGCATATTTTTATTGAAACTTTTATCAGTGTCTTTGTGACCATAAAACCATAACATTTTAGAGCCAAATCATACATAGCAATCTCTAATTTAGGCCTATCTCATAAGTGAGAAAACAGGCCCAGATGTGGTAAAGTGAGTTTCATAGGGTCACAAAGTGACAAAGCCAGGTCTTAGGCTTGGACTGTTGACATTACGCTAGTCTATCTTAACCAGTTTTCTGCTTTTGAGGGCCTTTAGCTGCCACTGAATTTTCTAACTGTTTATCCTTGCTAAACTATCCCACTATCCTCTTTATAAGTCAGTTTTTGAAGCTGTGTTGTTTTAGGTAATCTCATTAAGAGTGTTTTCTTGGAAAGGCTCTTTGTAACTAGTCAGCAGTGTTTGTCATGTAACAAAGCAGGGTATTTACATTGTGGAGGAAACTTTCTTGATAGTGAAAAATAAAAACGTAAAAAAGGTAAATTTGGGTGCTAAAAGCATTCTTCTAGCTATAACTACCTCGGGCTCCTGTGAAATCGCTAGCATAGCAACTAAACAGTTGCTTTACAGAGTTAGGTTAGTGGTACAATGTCTTCTCTTTCATTTTTCCCCCATTGTGGAACTACTTACTGTTCTCCAAAGAGATTTCTCTTCTCAGAACAGTGAAGTCAACACTAATGTTCCTTGCCCTGCTTCAGGATGTTTTTGTTTTGTTTCTCCTCATTAAAAAAGTATTTTAAGTTGTACTAGTGACATCAAGTTTTAATGCCGTTAGAAATTATCATTAGCTGTCTAGGATTTAGAGATGGAGGAGAAATTATTTGGAATTGTGTTCCAGTATTGTATTTTAGGAGAGGAAATACTGCCTGGTTTTGAATCTTTTATATGTAACGTGTTCAAAGTGAAGTCTTAGTTCCCACAAAGTGTGAGCAGATTTAAATTGAAAATTAAATTTAGTAAAGAATTTCAGGATTTTCTCTGTTTAATTAACTGAACTTTCCTTCATCTCGAAAGAGAACCAAGATTTTCTTGTAAACTTAAGGAAATTCCAGATTCGCAGGCAGCATCTATCCTGTCCTAGGCAGGAAATTGAGAACTAATTACTTTGGCTACTTTGTATATGCATACTTATCCAAAAGGTAGCACACTGGCTTGGTATATATTTTAGTATTCCTGTAATATTTCTGTTGTAAGGCTGCTGTTAGTCGAGATGATGTAGTTTTATTTCTCAGGTGTGCTTTATGTATTGGTTAACTGTATAACAGAATTCAGAATTAAGGTTTATATGGTTCTCATCTATATCTTAACCACATTGCTCCCAAGATAGCTTTAGGAGCTCAGACAACTTTGGTCATTTGTTTTTGGGATAGTGTTTTTAGGTAACAGTATGCAATGGAGATACATTGGAAAATAAGAACAACTTAAAGGAGTGACAGTCAGATATGGGTCTTAAGCCATTGGTGACTATTAACATCTTAAATTCTGTGTTAGAGACACTAAAGCAGCTGATCCTAATAAAGAATCAGAATCACCTGGAAAGCCTTTTTAAAAAAACACCTGGCTGAACCCTAGCCCAGACCTGGTGGACATAAATCTCAGATAAGCTTCCCAGATGATTTTGATGTGCATCCCAATCAAAAAGCAGCACCCAAAGGCAGTGTTTTCACATTTTTTTCACGCTGTGTCTTATTTTATTTTTTAGTGTTGGCTTCCACCCAGGGTCTTGACTAATGGTCTTGACCTGAAGCTTGAAAAACACTGTTCTGAAACATGTAACGATTGCTGTCCTTGGGTTAACAGTGATTGAAACTGTGTCTTCTGGGTCATTTAATTATAAATGCCACTGACTCAGAATCGACTGTAATTCTTCTTTGGTTTAGTGGTAGACGGAGGAGAAGTCCCTCCCCACCACCCACCAGAAGGCGACGTTCTCCTTCTCCGGCTCCTCCTCCTCGACGGCGCAGGTCTCCCACGCCACCACCACGACGAAGGTACTTTGTCAGATATGCTACTTGGAGCTTATTGGAGCAACTCTGAATCTTTATGAGTAAAATGTTATTAGAGTGGCATTGCTCAGGCAGTCATAAAAAAACACGTATTATGAGTCTATTTGTATGAAAAGTCTAGAACACACAAATCAATAATAGAAAGTAGATTAGTGGTGCCTGGGGTGAGGTGCGAATGGGAGTGAAATGCTTGCACAACTATATGAATATACTAAAACCACTGAATTGTACACTTTAAGTGGGTGAATTTTACTGTATGTGAATCACATATCAACAAAGATGTTAAATAAGAGGTAGTATGACTATTTAGTGATTACAAAGAAAAGATATTAACTTTACATTGGAGAATCCTGGCAGATACCTCCTTAACTAAGTCATCCCTCATAATTCCTCTTGGCATCTTGTATTACCTGTATACCTCTGTAGTATACTTACTAAATAGGACCTTGATCTAATTATTAGGAAATAACCAAACAAAACCAAAGTGAAGGTCTTTCTACATAGTAATTGACCAGTACTGTCAGATTGGCAGGAACTAAGGAGATCAAGGACCCTGGAATAGAAAAGGGACATATATTAGTGGAAAACTGGTGGTACTGATATTTTGTTAATACTGAGTACTGAGGTTAATTTTATAGTTTTGATAATTTGTATGGTTATGTAGGATATTAACATGGTTAAGTGGCAGATATCCACTATTTTTGTAGCTCTTCTGTAAATCTAAAGTTATTTTAAAATCAAAATGAGGGAAAAACTGTTCTAATGTTCAAATACATTGCCAAGCAGTGTAATGGCTGGCTCTTGAATGCCTGTTCACTCTTGAGTGCCAGGCAGAGTGCTAGGTGTTTTATATACCTCTAGTCCTCAAGGTGACTATGCTTGGTGTAGGTAGTATTGTTCCTATTTTTCAGGTGAGGAAATGGAGGGTCCCAGTTATTAATTGCCCAAGTGCGGTGATGAAACTGCACCCTACCACGTTGCCAAAAAATGGCCTGTTATAAAGCAGATTCTTGGCAGGAATTTATTTTGACCTCAAAGACTGAAAGGTCTAAGCAAATTAGGCAGTTGGGCCTGACTCATACATTCAAGTCTAACTCCTAAAAGGCGAGTTAGGATTGTGTAGGAATTAATCATTAAGAAGGTGGCCAGGTTGGGCTTTCACAGTGATGCATTCTGCCTAGCAGTAGTCTTCCATTGAAAAGTGGTCCTTTGAGACAGGAAATGAAAGTTTCTTTGAGATGGAAAGATTTAGGTATCTTTAAAGCTGTGCAGTGAACTCTGTTAATACATTATCCAAATGCCTATTCAGAGAGGATACTGTAGGAGAGCTCTTTAAAGCACAGACATCCTAAGGGGACCATAGGCAATAGAGTTACGCTAATGCAGTTTTGTAGTTATTATATAATAAGTGATGTTCAGTCCTCTCAAGGCAATGCAAGATTCTCTTTTCAAAAAATGTTAAACTCATTCCATATAGATTGTGTTAAATTACTTCTGATAATTGCAAATTCCTTCATCATTCAGAATGTCATTTTGTAGTCATCTGAGATAAATAGAAATTTTGCTAAGTGATTTTTTTTACTTTAGATGCAAATAAAGGTATACCATGTCAGCTTATAATATACTCCCTTTGCCTAGTGCTAACTACAGTATAGCCATAAGTACTGGTTGTTTATGTGTATGTGTGTGTGCGCATTCTGTTTTCTTATTTTGTTGGGCCTTTCAGCTTAATGTTGTGTGTTTTTCCTAGGACTCCTTCTCCTCCCCCACGTCGGCGCTCACCTTCCCCAAGAAGATATTCTCCTCCAATACAGAGGAGATACTCTCCTTCTCCACCTCCAAAGAGAAGAACAGCTTCTCCCCCTCCCCCTCCTAAACGAAGGGCATCACCATCTCCACCACCAAAGCGTCGGGTCTCCCACTCTCCACCTCCCAAACAAAGAAGCTCCCCAGTCACCAAGAGACGTTCACCTTCGTTATCGTCAAAGCATAGGAAAGGGTCTTCCCCAAGCCGCTCTACTCGGGAGGCCCGGTCACCACAACCAAACAAACGGCATTCGCCCTCACCACGGCCTCGAGCTCCTCAGACCTCCTCAAGTCCTCCACCTGTTCGAAGAGGAGCATCTTCATCACCCCAAAGAAGGCAGTCCCCATCTCCAAGTACTAGGCCCATTAGGAGAGTCTCCAGGACTCCGGAACCTAAAAAGACGAAAAAGTAAAAATATTTTATCCTTTTTGGTTAGGAATACTTACTTGCATAGCTCTTTATATTTGGAAGCTCTTTTTTTCCCGTCCTTTACTGAGAATTTATAGAAAGGAATAACCTGTGAACACACACTTTTAAGGCAAATTTTAGGCACCATTCACAGATCCTTTTCCATTTTCAGACTAGTTCCTTATGGCATAAATTAAATGCTGTAGTATTTTGATTGGTTCTTGGTAGTATCAAGTTTTTAGAACGCTGTGCTTCCAAAACTAAACTGAAGTGATGCATAGAATATTTCTTGTGTGCATCTAAGGCTGATAAAAGCACTTTTAAATAAAATGTAAGGAATTGGCATTACTAATTTCATACACGTAGTATCATTAACTGAATGGTTAGAGGATTGTGGGGCTTAAGCTACTCTCTAGACTTAGCTGATATAAATTTGATATGTGTTAATAGAATCACCTAGAAAACTTAAGTGCTGTAAAATATTTGATGTTGGTGACCTGGTTGTATAATGTAGTTGGTTATTTTGTCATAGGAAGAGATGTCTGTTCTCAGTGCTAAGTGTTTTATTTTTCCCTCTGTCTAGGGCTGCATCACCAAGCCCACAGTCTGTAAGGAGGGTCTCATCTTCCCGGTCTGTCTCTGGATCTCCTGAGCCAGCAGCTAAAAAGCCCCCAGCACCTCCATCCCCTGTCCAGTCCCAGTCTCCCTCTACAAACTGGTCACCAGCGGTACCAGTCAAAAAGGCTAAAAGCCCAACACCAAGCCCATCACCGGCAAGGGTATGTGTTTGCCTAATTTTGCACATCCTTTATAAATTTGTATGTAAGATCACCTTGAAGGAGGGAACATATCATTGGGGTATTAAAATATTGGGATTTATACTGATTTTTTCCCCTTGGCGAGTCATAAATTTGATCTTGGATAGGTTTATGTATTATATAAAAATCAGTGCTTAGATGTCCATCTTTTTAATAGGGTAAACTGAATTATTGTGCAAGCAAACTGAACGAATAGATTGTGAAGGATTTTAAGTAATTGCTTATACATGCAAAATTTTTTTAAATTATAGTCAGTTATAGCAGAGCCTTTTGCATAAATATGGTGTGTAGACATTGAAGGAGGAACAAACTTCTCCCACTCATACATGGCATTCATACAGGTGTGTGTTTAGACAGTAGCTGGTACCATTTATTAAAAGCTTGCTACATGTTAGGCAAGTATCGTGAGTGATTTACAAATATTCACATTTAATCTTAATAAGAGCTTTATCACGTATGGATTATTATACCTATTTTAGGTAAAAAGGGCTCAGAAAAATTAAGCAATTTGCTTGAGGTCCTGTTCTTAGAATTTGTGAAAAATCTCTTTTGCTTTCCTTCAGTTGGACAGAATTTTAATCAGGTTGATTATGTTGCTATTATTTTTCTTGATTTCTAGAATTCGGATCAAGAAGGAGGAGGAAAGAAGAAGAAGAAAAAGAAGGACAAGAAACACAAAAAGGATAAGAAACACAAGAAGCACAAAAAACACAAGAAGGAAAAGGCTGTGGCTGCAGCTGCTGCAGCTACCGTGACCCCTGTGGCCATTGCTGCTGCCACAACCACGTCAGCACAGGAAGAGCCAGTTGTGGCACTTGAGCCTAAGAAGGTACTATAAACGCTATACATAGCGGTCTTACAGTATATACAGATCGGAATCATTTGATTTTGAGAAGTAGCTGAATCATTTTTTCTAATAATTGGCTTCTCAGCTTTTACCGTATTCTGATCTGTTTCTCAGTGACCTGCAAAGAAAAGAAATTTGCCAGCAAATAACAATAATAAAAATAAGAACACACACAAATGGCTGCCCAAAAGCTTAATGTAGTTTTTTTTTTTTAATAACTTCTTTGATATAACACTTACACACCATACAGTTTACCCATTTAAAGCGTACAGTTTGGTTTTTAGTATACTCAGTTGTGCAGCCAGCATCACAATTTGGTTCTGCTCTTCATTCGGTTTCTTCCACTGTTATGTCAAGACTTGACGATATGTCCATTCTGGTTTTTTTTTTTTTAGGAGACAGAAAGTGAAGCTGAAGATAACCTTGATGACCTAGAAAAGCACCTGCGGGAAAAGGCCCTGAGATCGATGAGGAAGGCTCAAGTGTCCCCACAGTCTTAGGTGGAAATGTTTGTTATGATGTAAATTTTATTTGGTTTGTACGCAATTCAATTTCAAAATTGCTAAAATGTGTTTGAGCTTTAGACTATAACATTTGTTGTAATAATTGCTAGGTTGAAGTTCACCATGTAAAAAAAGGGCATGGATTTACATTGCAAAAGGTGTCCACAGTGTATTAGTGACATTCTTTCATTGACAGCTGACATAAATTCATTTAGAGTGAAATATTTTAAGCCAAAAAAAAAAAATCCCTTTTTTAAAAAAGGGGGTTTAAATATTGTTGGCATTCTTATCCTTTAAATGCCCCTGGCTATTCCCAGAGGTTTTGTTTCAAAAAAAAAAAAATCCCCTTTTTAAAAAAGGGGGTTTAAATATTGTTGGCATTCTTATCCTTTAAATGCCCCTGGCTATTCCCAGAGGTTTTGTTTTTTTGTTTTTTTCTTTACTTTTTCTCATTTGAGTCTTAGCACCCATTTAAGTTATGCTTCTGACCTTGTATGGTTTGTAAGCTTGACCAGAAATAAGACCACTGTTGAATTACCACAAAAGTATAAATTAATAGTTTAATGCCACAATCTTTCCTGTTGCCTGTGGAGTCTCTGCTGAAATGAATCAGGATTCGAGCTCTAGGATGAGACAGAAAATGAAAGCATGGTGTTTGCCAGGACACTGTGGGTTTATATTGATGTGTAACAAGTTGATTTGGAACACTGGAATTTCATTCTATTCTGTTCTTCTGGGGTTTTTTTGTTGTTGTTGTTGTTCTTTTGTAAAGGCAATTAATGAGTCCCAGGAAGGATCCTTCAGTTACATAAAATTTTGTTTTATGAATGTCGTGGCTTCATTCATATTTTGTCTTGTTCTTCCAATTGGTATATACAACTTTCAGAGCTCTTGTATTTGGAAGGCTGGAAGGGCCCAGAATTTGAAATAGTGTCTTGGTTTCACTTGTTTTTGTTTTTTAACTAAAGCTATATAAAGCTTGTGGATTAAACAATAAATTTCTAAATTTAAAAATGTTTGCCACTCACTCTTGTCTCAATACTACAGGAAACCTACCTTTCTTAGAAATCTTACAGTTACCATGTTTTCACTCCTTTGGTGGGGTGGGAGTTGGGCAGGGAAAATAAGGATAGTGAAATTAAGGTTTTACCATTTTTATTTGAATAATTACTGTGATGAGTACTATGAAGGGGAAGTGCAGGGTGTGGCTGGAACATATGGTACAGGCACATTCCAAGAAATGAGTGAAGGCTAAGGCATGACTGGGGCGCCCTCTGGTAGGTAGGTAGGTAGAGAGAGAGAGAGAGAGTGTGTGTGTGTGTGTGTGTGTGTGTGTCCTCTGGTAGGTAGGTAGGGGTGTGTGTGTGTGTGTGTGTGTGACTCTGGTAGGTAGGTAGGGGTGTGTGTGTGTGTGTGTGAGAGAGAGAGAGAGAGTGAGTGTGATGTTCGGCTGTCCACAATCAAGTCATTTCACCTAAGATTTTTTTCTTTTTACTGCATTTAATGTTGCATCTGCATTTAAAATTTAGCAGGGCAAAATAAGATGAGGAAACTTGGGAGTTGATAGTATAGAGTAAAACAGCAACATTCATATGGAAAAAGTAAAAGGAAATTTTTGACACTAGTAATCTGAGCTGAGCATGTTGACACATGAGTAATTAATTTGGTTATAATTTCTGTCAGTTGAAGCAAAAAGAAAATGCCTGAAAGAAGAAGGTTTTTTACCTAAATGACATGGACAGTAAATATACCTGTAACAATGAGTTGTTTTTACAGGTGGGGCTCAGAGAGAGGTGCTGGACCCCCATGTGAAAGTTGTTAAATGCTTTTGTTTTGTTCTATTGTATCCTTTTTTTTTTTTTCCCCCTTTCTTTATAATTGATTTTACAAAGGAAAGTAAGATGCTCAGAAGGCCCGGGGTGGGGGGGTGGGGGAGCAGGGGGCAAGGAAGACAATGCACTAGGGAAGGTGGGGCGTTGTTTTTTGCCAAACCCTGGGCAGAGTGGTCTGAGTCATCTGGCACCCTCCTGAAGGGGACCCCAAAGTATCTCCCATGTGTAAGGGTCTCTGGATTTTCCCCAGTTCCTACCCTCTCCTACTTCAGCCATATTGATGGCCGAGGCAGAGAAGAACTTACAGCCCATTTCCCACTGGTGAGGAAAATTCATCTGGCTTTGCTGAGAAGGTTCTACCCTTACACTAGTAATATGTTACCTTTACAATATGCTAGGCTATCATATTTAAAAGGGCAAAAAAGCAAAATACTTGAATGAACTTGTATTATAATATTAATATTATTGAGAGTATCTGCTTTCCAGGCTGAAGTGATTCATTCGTTATTCTGGTCCTGCTTTAGTCCTTTATAATTTGTGGTAATTGTGCTTTTCCGTACAAAAAGTATATAAAAATAAAAACTTGAAAAGGCAAAAAAAAAAAAAAATATATGGTTTGCGCTCACCTCCATTTTGCTAAGTTGAACGATCAGTTCTTCATCATTATTTTGTGAGACTTCTCAGCAGGATTTGGCTCAGTCATCCACTCCTTTGTTGGGTCACATTCTTCACTTGTAAGAACTTGGACTCTAGGAGTTTGGTTTACCTTGTAGATGCAGCAGTAGTTTTCCTCCTGCCTCACTAGCTGTTCTTGAAGTGATTTAGTTTTCCTTTCTTTGTCCTTCGTGGCCTTCCCTGCACTTAGTTCCTAGTTCTTTGGTTTTAAGTGCCATCTTTATGCTGATGTATCAGATCTCTTTCCAGTCCACACATCTTCCTGAGCTGGACTCCTGGATAACATTCGGATATCTAAAGGCATGCTTAAACTAACATGTCCAGGACAGGATTTTTTTATACCATCCTCTAATCTTCTCCCAGTCTTCTCCATTTCAGTACCTGTCACGAGCATTTATTCAAAATTAAGAGGTCATTACTATCAGCGACAGTACTGTCCACCCCTCAATACTCATGCATGCAAATGCCATTCCATTCCCGATAGCCCAGGCCAGATCATAGCTCTGCTCAAAACCCTCCAATAGCTATCTGTCTCAGAATAGAACCCAAATTTCTCACTATGGCCTGCAAGACCCAGTATGATTGGACTGAATCAGCTGTGGCAACTTGATCACCACTCCTCACTGTGCTCAGGCCCCACTGGCCGCCTGCTCTTTCTTAAAACCCAACAAAGTTGATTTCTTTTTCAAGGCCTTCATGCTGTGTCTGCTGTTGTTTCATCCTAGAAGGAACTCCTGATCTTATGGCTTATTTCGTCAAACACTTCCCTAATTCCCTCTCCTTTTTGTTCATCTGTAGCAGTTATTACTTCTGAAATGATAATTTTTCGTCCCTAGGAACTTGGTCTTATTCACGGCTGTGTCCCCAGTGGTACACAGTAGAAGCACAAATATTCAATAATGGATGCTTAAATAAATTTAATTGATTGTCATTGCCTCTGTATTTGCCAGACACTACTAAGGTTTGAGGTAAAGCAAATGAAGAGATATGATTGCTGCCCTCAAGGAGCATTCCCCTACTGGGGACATAGACATGCAAACAATTTGCAGTGGTCAGAATATAGCTCAGAATCTGGTAGACCAGGATTTCTACCATAGTTTTCTACTGTGTGACTGTGGACAAGTTAATGCCATTTCCTCTTCTATGCAATGGAAGTCATCATAGAATCTGCCTCAGAGCTTTTGAGGATTTCAATGTGTTGGTTAATACATATAAAGCAATCACCACAAAGAGAGTTTCCCGTTTTAGTTAACGTGACATGTATCTTTTCTAGTAATTATGGCAAATTTTAGTTTAGATGACTAAAAAGGATTTTAGATCATAACCCTATTTAATTCAATTTTTCTCTTCTTTTTAGATATAACTGGCATACCATAAAATTCACTATTTTAAAGTGTACAACTTGGTGGTATTTAGAGGGTATGCAACCATCACCACTATTTCAGAACATTTTCATCACCCCAAAAAAGAAACTTTGTGTGCCCATTAGCAGTCACTTCCAATTCCCCTGACAGGACCCCCAGCTCCAACCCTTAGCAACTACTATCTATAGATTTGCCTATTCTGGACATTTTATTGCAATCATACAATACAGAGCCTTTTGTGTCTGACTTCTTTCACCTAGCATAACGTTTTCAAGGTCCATGTTCCAGCATATATCAGTACTTCATTTCTTCTTATTGCTGAACAATATTCACTTATCTAAATATACCACATTTTGTTTATCCATTCATCCGTTGATGGTATTCAGGCTGTTTCCACTTTCCCACTATTATGAACGAGGCTGCTGTAAACATTTGCATACAAGTTTTTGCAGGCATATGTTCTCGATTCTGTTCAGTATATAATAGATCTGCAACATACCCAGCGCCACTTTAGACAAGCCCAAGTACAAAATGGCGCCACCCGCCTTCTCCCCTCCTGCCCTTCCCTTTAGGAGAAGCCTTCTGACTTAAACAGAAACCCCTTTTGCTTCTGCAAGGACGCAGTTCTCCACCTTGATCGACATTAGCATATTGACCCTCTGATGGTATCAGCCAGCCCTTGGCGCACTATATAAGCTCTACCACCCCCACACCTGGTGCCGTCCCCAATTTTCAGGGCAGCCCTGAGCTGTTCCCCACTTTGAGTGCAGGCTGGTAGATTCTTTTCCTTTAATAAAGCTTGAACGGTACCCAGCATCTCGGCTCACTTTCTTTCATTATGGTGATGAAACCCGGGAAGGGTTTTGGCTGACGTTGTGGATGATACCCTCTCTCTTGGGGTGATTGGGCCTCAGCTGCCCTTCCTGGACCTGCCAGAATCGGCTACACTTGGGACTTTCTCTCCTTTTGCTGTTTCAGACCAACACATCCAACACCGGCCTCAACTCAGGGTGAGTCCGTGGGTCTGTCCTGCTTGCTTCTACGGTTCCCCCAACTACTCTCTCTATGACAGGTCTCTACGAAGCCCAGGCGCCTGGCTGAGGGAACTCTTCTCGTGCCCCCCAGCTATTGAAGGATGCTTCATTAGCTGGTTGGTGGCTTTTTTTTCTCTCAAAAAGAAGGTGAACAACAGAGAGGACACTCTTTGCTGGCACTCTTCTACCAGGACTGACTGCCCTTTCTCACCCTCTACATGGGATCCTCATGATCCAAACCTCCATGCTCTATGCCCTTGGGCCGTCTCCTGGCCAATTTCTTGGCCTCCAGGGAGACACTGAATCTAAACATCCCGTTTTCCACTGTACTCTGTGCTCTACGCCTCTAGGCCACTCTA